ACTACTCCTAAAAAGGCAAACCAGAGGCAAGATACGCGCTCAATACTCAAGTGGTTGGTGAACGGTCGAGAAGTGGTTGAGTTTGAGAATCAATGTGATTTCGGTAACACTGGTTTGCGAGTTGCGAGTGTTGCGAGGAAACTTGAGCGACTTCTGGTGTCAGCCAGTCCTACAGGCAGTGTGTTGATTTCGTTATGGCACAAACTGCACTGAGCAGCGCTATGGCGGAATAGCATACGATCAAACTTTCAGACCTACTCAGGACACCACGGGGAAGCAACATCGGTATCTCGTACTCTTGCGTTTCTCGTATTACCAGTGCAATGCCGGGAGATCAGCGGGCCTCGCGAGACCTCGGCACCCCACCCAGTGGCATGAGGGAGACTCCGTCAGGATAGTCAGGCTATAGACGTCTTCGTACTATCGGCAGTGTACGCGTGAGCCAGCACTATAATATCGTCAGGCAGTACTATTGTGTAGAGCCATTCTCACTGTTATACGGCATTGCGAGCCATAGCACGGCAGCGTATGTGCTTGTACGAGTTTACTCGTGCAGTGCACTACGTACAACTCGTACATCAGCCATTCTCACTTCAGGCATAGTACTTTGCAGGTAGCCAGCACAGTCTTTACGACTGCATAGCTCATTCCTGGTATGCGGTAGAGGGGCGGTTCCGGTGCAAACACGCTCATTGGCTATGTGAGTGGCCAAAGAACAGAGAATTAAGCATAGCGCTAACAGGGCAAAATACATGTGCGCATTGTAATAAATCAGGTAAACGTAGTAACTCTTCAGTTGGCGCGTAAAAAGATTAAATCATTATGATCGTGGATTTAACAGGTTTTAGCAGTTCGTTTACGTAAAATACATATTCCGTGTGTTTATGCTTATTGAATACCCCTTCTGCATTTTTTATAAATACCTAACGTCTAACACAATATGGGTCGGTGCTGTGTTGTCGGATGCAACAATAACGGTGATAAAAGTGGGTGCACTACGGAAGGACCGCATTCATTCCATAAGTTTCCAAATGCTCCCAATCTCCGAGGACATTGGGCGCGTCGAATTAATCGTCAGAACTGGACTCCTGGAATCAGTGCTGTTGTATGTTCAGACCATTTTACACAAGAGTGTTTCACGGCGAAAGGGAGCAGAAAGATTCTGAAGGAAGGAAGTGTTCCAACTGTATTCGGAGTTGCAGTTAAACGTAAGAAGAGCAGCGAGCCCAGTAAGTACACTTTGAAGACTTTTATAGCAATTTGAATTACAAATTATAATTATAAATATACGTTAAACCCATTTTTAAGTTAGCTTATGTCGAAAAAAATTTACTGAATTTGCAGCCTCTACCAGTGCTTCCCCCAAGAAAAAGAAACTTCGAACGAGTGGGACTGACAATTTATTGGAAAAGAGTCTTGATTCTCCATGTGTTCAAGACACAGGTAACTTTGTTCTGCACGCAGATGAAAAACTTCAATAGTATTTTTACATATACCCAACTACTTTGCAGAATTAATGGATGCCAATATGATTGCTACGCTGAGGGAGAGAGTGGCACTACTGGAAGAGCAGCTGGCGTTTGCGAATATTCGCAGTCAAAATTTGGAAGCCATTATTGAAGAACGCGACGAGCGCATCTCAGAACTGGAAGCACTACTCTGCCAGGACAAAGACGAACCTTACATCAGCGTAGACAAAATTGCAGATCTGAAGGCCAATGTGTTTCGACGAATTACGGGTGTTGTGAATTACGAGATGTTTAGCGAGATGGCGGAGAAGTTTTGTCATGCAATATCGAGTGCCTGCCTTAAAGAATCTGTAAACGGGAAACCCAGACCTGAGCGTCGGAAGCTGTCAACGAGAAATCAGTTATTGTTGGTGCTATTTAAATTACGAATGGATTTAAGTTTCGAATTTTTGGGGGTTCTTTTCAAAATTCATCAAAGCACGGCCTCCAGAACTTTTGAAATGTGGATTAACGTCATGGCAGCTGTCATTAGGCGACTTGATTTTTTCCCATCCCGGGAAATGGTTCTGCAAGACGCACCCAGAGAGTTTATCGCTTCTGGGTTTGCGAACGTGCGGGTGATGGTGGATTGTTTTGAGCTGTTTATAGAGACTCCGTCTCATCCGGGGACACATTCGTACGCCTATTCAAGCTACAAGCATCACTGCACGGTCAAGTTTTTGATCGGAATTACACCAGCTGCGAAAATCAGTTTTATCTCGGAGGGCTATTTAGGATCCATATCTGACGAAAGCATTTTGTCCAAAAGCGGCTTGCTGGATTTACTGCAACCAGGTGACGCAATTTTGGCAGACAAAGGCTTTAAATTGGCACCTAACGAAGCGCACCGGGAAATACAACTTATTACGCCAGATTTTTTAGGACAACGTGGACAACTGACAGCAGCAGAAATGAACAATTCTTATTTTATAGCACGTCATAGGGTTCACACTGAACGAGGTATTGATCGTGTCACTGATTTCCGTATTTTGTCTCCTTGTATACCACAAACAACGGTGTCTTTTCTTAGCGAAATTGTTGATGTTATAGTTTTTCTAGTTAATATTTCAACGGATATCTTGGCAAAAAAATAAGTTCCTAGAAATTCTGATTAGGTTTGAGGCTTTGGGAAATTCTATTGCGGTCTGAACAAAACCGAAACGTTCTGACGTTCTGACGGGTTTATTTAAAATATACTTGTATGCTATTTTAATTAATTCTATGAGCAAAAACTTTATAAACTAAAGAAAAGTATGAATTTTAATTTTGACAGAGCAGGTTAAATCATAAAAAAAGTATCATATCGCAGCTGCCAGTATTCAACAGGTAGCCGCACGCAGGCTGCGCTATCATAGAAGTCGAAACATGTGAAACAGCCATTACATACACACGAAGGTAATCAATTTGTTTTTTATTTTGTTTGGTTTTCTTTATTATCATGGAGTGGACACCATTGACAGCCCGCTATCGCTGGGCGCTTCCCTTTCAGTCTTTTTCTGAACAGGGCATTTCGTTGTACTACTCGAAATATTCTTCCCGGTCTGCTCGACCTTTCAAAACATCGGATGATGTACGGGATCCTGTCCTTCCGTCAGACGCAAGAGCTCTGTTTTCTGCAAACCGTATACGTCTACCACTCGAGTTCAAGTTAACCAATCCTGCTGGTATTATTTTCCGATCTCATTGCCATGCTGAGATGAAAAACTTGAATTATGAAGTGAATCTGACGTTCTCCAGTTCATCCCTGGTGCTCGCAAAGTGCCACTGCGCTGCAGGCAAAGTAGGCAACATACACTGTGCTGCGTCCGGGTCACTGGAGGTTTTTGGGGCATCGTGTAAGCACGTTGGAGCTGTCGCCCTTATGCTTGTGTACTTATTAAATCATAACGATTATCCAAATTTTCTAACCTGTACGTCAAAGCCGTGCTCTTGGAGCGTTCCGCGACCAGCGCGAGGTAATGTGCCACGGGTGAGCGAGTTCTCAGTTCGCAGCTCATCGACCAGTGAACCGTCCAAAATGGTACGTCGAAGAACTTATAACGCCATTGACGAAGCGGTGGCCGAATCTACTGCCTTGGCGATTGGTCAATGGGCAATTGAAAAAAAATTACCTGCAGCAGCATTGCTCAAGCCTTCAGCTATGATAAAAAGCCGGAGTATCATGCGGACTGACCTTATCCCTGCTCAAGCGGAAATTCCGATCTACCCATTACCGCTTCCGTTTCAGAGCAACAAGGCTAAATACGTCGAAGACCAAGTTGCGCCGGAAATCATGAACCTTAGCTGGGAGATTCTGCTGTTCTACCAATCCTCTTGGATGAATTTCGACTTGAAACAAGCCCAAGATTTATCCGCTCGAACCGCGGATCAATCGCGATCTCTGGATTGGAAGAACATGCGGAAAAAAGTGGTCACAGCATCAAAAGTGCATTCGGTGATAACTCGTCAGAAAGATTTTTCATCGGCCTTTATGGAAACTTTAATCACTGATTCCCGACCGACGAACCAAATGCAGCAAGGTCTTGACCAGGAGGACGATGCAGTGCAAATATACTTGCAGTCGCAACGTGTGGCTTTTCCGGATATTCAAGTTGCGAAGGTTGGCCTGTGCATCTCTCCAGGTATGTACATTGCTACACTAAAAACAAAACAGTAAATTAAATTTGTCTTAAACAGTTGTAATTACCAGAGAATACTTCTAAGAAACGGCTTCTGTTACTACTACATGAAAAGTATTTGTTGCAGGCTTTCCATTCATGGGAGCCAGCCCAGACAGAGTGGTGGTTAACGGGACGGAAGACAGAAGCGTTGGCCTGATAGAAGTAAAGGTTCTGACGGAAGACAAAAAGTTTCAATGGAATCTAATTGCTGACAGAAATGAAATCAGCGTCGAAGAGCTACTGACATCGTATGTTGGATTGAAAAAAGCCATTTCTCCATCGTTCACGTTTTATTTAAACAAAACGCCGACCGGATGGACTTTGAAAAAAACGCACGGATATTACAGCCAGGTACTTACCCAGATGGCGGTTACTGGGTTGAGATTTTGTGACTTCGTGGTGAAAACTGATTCAAAGGTGTTCATAGAAAGGATTGAATTTGTGGAAGACGAATTTTTCAAAAGCAGGTATTTTAATGCAATCACAAAATTCTACTTCACCCATTTTTTGCCTTTTTTATATGACAAGCATGTTGTTGAAGATTCAGTGCAGGTGAATAAAACAAATTAATGGTGACGAAAATTTCCAGCGTTACGCAACTGAACCACTCTCCAATTATTAGTGCCATATGTTTATTACTGTCATGTTTGGAATATGCAAGAATCTATAGAACTTAAATCAGAATTAAATTAAGCATTTTTTACCGACATGGGTGCGCCAGGCTAAGCCCGGTTTTTCGCAGAGAACCGGAAGACATTTGTATAAACTATAGCCTAATCATCAAATTTTTGAGCTACTTTATTCGTTACTGGCAGTGCATGAAATAATTATTTTAAAATATACTTAAACCTATTTACCCAAAACAAACTTATATCGTAAAAACTTCGCACAGCCGCTTCAATTTTTATTTGTTTTACAAACATGCTTCATTCGTGCAGGATCGACCAATTTGTTGCAGTTTTTACATGAAACATAAACCTTTTTGCTATGAACAGAACTAGCGTAGTGCCTTGTCAAATTTCCTTTAGTCGGAAAAGCTTTCTGACAAATTTCGCATACAAAACTAATGCTTAACAAACCCGCGGGAAGGGGAGGAGGAAGATCAGCATCGAAGTCGAGATCCGCGGGAAGTGGAGGAGGAAGATCAGCATTGAAGTCGAGATCAATATGTAGGGGAGGAGGTAGATCAATAGTGTCGAGATTCACGGGTGGGAGGAGATCACAAGCGTTAGAATCCATACCGGCGGTGACTGGGGCAAAACCACCAGACAGAATGTCGCTGTTGGTCAGAACTTCATTTGAGCAGTCAACCGAATGGTATTTACGAAAAGGATCCATGGGGAAGTGGATGGCATTTGGCGAACAGGTACAAAATTTAGCTGCTTCACCAAACTTTATCCACCGAGAAGTAGCAAAATTCGTGGACTCAGCAACGTTCAAACCGCAGTTGAAACCTGCGTGGTATCCACCAGGAAAAGTAATAATTATTTCCCCTTCGCTTTGAATAACCTACGAAAAAAACAAATGCGAGTTTAAAATGTATTACAAAATCGCATGAATGTTCGTTCAAATAATTACGGTGTCGTAACGAATCTTCTCTTGTTTCAAAACCGAGGGCTTAATCAGGCATCGTTTATGACGCAAAAAAGATGGGCACAACGCTGCATCCTTCTTGAACAGTCCTGAAAAGCACGGCAATTTTTTGAAAGTATTTTGAAGTTACAACTGATTAGCATTGCTAGTTGTAATTATTGAAGTAGCTCTTACTAGCAGCAGCAGCCTCGAAAACATCTCTAGCCGCTGGACTCACACCATACCAAAACTTGTCGTCGCCACGGTGAATGAAATTAATCGAATACAGATCCATGTCCTCCGTGTGCCACCCGAAAAAGGCCCGCCACATCCCAAAATATAAGTATGGTGTGTTTGCTCCCTGATATTTCTGGGGAAGCAGTTCCAACAGGTTCGGCAAACGGGAGATATTCCATTCCTGTGGAATCCGGAAAATATTTTATCATAATCTAGTTCTTGCAAAAGCAAATTACCTCAACAGAAGAATCAAAAAGGGATCCCGGTACGTCGGCGCCATAAATAGGATCATAATTAGGAATATGACGCCAAAAATATTCTTCCAGTTCTAAATAATCAAGGGCTAGCTTTAATCAATAGGCACAAAATCATTATCGTGTTTTCTAAAACTAATATTAACGATTTTGAGGCGTTTATTTCTACCTTCCGAGGAACAAGGTGCGTGGGCGTAATTATGTTTGTGGGCATAATTTTCGAGGTCCCCAACCTTGAACGGACTCTCCTGCTTCAGGTTGAAAAGAAAAGCGCCAGTATGGCCAGTTTGCTGCACACGCTGCTGTATTGGCTTTGGAATTAAAAGGTTATGAACTGAGGGAAATTTAGCCGGATGGGGCCTCCATTCCTTAGGGGGAATTATCTATGTACGACAAATTAATTAAGCAATAGTAAAGCAAAATATTCATGTTTACCTTAGCAACACCGCCAAGGTGTGCACTGCACTCCGACTCGATTGAGTGAATAAAGCTCGGAAAATCACGAAATTCATCCCAGGTAGGGCGAAATACCATGATTCTAGGGCTGGCTGGATCGTTTATACCGAACCGAGCTCTGAATTGCGACCTAGAAATCCAAAGAACAAATATAAATTTAAGTCCGCATTAAATTCTGATTTTTTTTAAAAATGTTGGTTCGCCAGGCTAGACCTGGGTCTAGCGCAGGTAACCCAAAAAATTTTTTTATCGATTTTCCCATTTAACAACGTACGTTTCTTCAGAAATTTATAAAAACTTCATAAAAGATATCTGATTGAAATATTAACAATTAATAATGAAGTCATGACAGCAATTATATATAAACATATTTACATGGTAGAACGTCGCGACCCACTGGACTTGACATTCTGGTCATATTCATATTCCCGAAGATTGGTTCGTTCAAGGAATTCTTTCCGGTCCAAATATCCCCCTTTGCCTTTATTGAACTGAGCTAAATCTTCGTCCAGGCAGTGGTCATTTTTATACTTTTTCCAATCAAACTGAGATTTATCCTAAAAAAATTCCAGTTAGCACTAATATCCAAAATCAAAATCAAGTTATACCGCTGCAATTGATTGTGCCAATGGTGTACAACACTTTTCAAAGCTTCAACTCACCAATGTAGACATTTTCTTCTTGCCGGATAACTTCGCGAATACTGATCCCAGTCCCGTCAAGGGACCACTAGGCGCCTTCGATGAGCTATAAAAATAACGAAAGAAATACAGATTTTAAAATTACACAATTCTTCTGCAGCAGACAGCCATATTGAGCAAAAAATAAGTTATTTTCGTAACCCATGCCACGACGATCCGTATTGTATTTGTAATACTTCGTTATAAAAATTTTAAAAAAACAATTATCAATTGTAGTCCATTTAAATTCTCCAAAAAATATTCTCGAATAGAAGTACTTGTAAGTAAAATAAAAATTTTTACTTGAAACAGATTCTTTCTTCATATGCTAATCATCCTATTAATGCAAAACGCAGACATTTTAAAAGTACTGAATAACGGCATTTATCTCGTTGACAAAAAGAGAAATACTCACATTACAGTACTTAATGATGCAGGCAACAACAGTTGTGCAATACATTATATTCTGCAAAGCTGTATACAGGCTGCACCGCTGCAGTATGATTTTGTGTTTAACAGCACCCTTCAGGACCAAGTATCAACTAACCTGGCATTCTGCGAAGAGGAAGGAGCAACGACTGATGTTGTGGAATCTCGAGACGTAGAAGACACACGCCCGCTGCCGTTCTTGTCGTCCATTGCCGAGCCTCTGTTCGAACTGGAGTCATTAAGGTTAGGGCTGGGTGAGGATTGTGAATACTCCTTGTCCGAGGAAACTCTGGAAGCTGGAGCTTTAAAACTGTGGACAGCTATGGCTGTCGTGGGTTTCTTCGGCATGCAAACGCGAGTCTCGTTGCTCGTGGTCTCATCATTATCATTATTGTCCAAATCATCCCCGTATTTGCTTTTCTTTTTCCTACAAATCGAAAGAACTTGCGGATGACTGCTTCGTGTAAAACATGTTGTATCTACCGCTTATCACCATCTAATTTTCGAAGGTAACTAGTTTAACAACAGTTTACTGCAAGTCCGCTCGCAGTAAAAAACCAATCAAAAGAAACTAAGAAGAAATATTCCGAATTTTTCCTTTGCAGTAGTGTACGTAAATTGTTAACGGACTCGCCAATTACGATGAGGGGAACCTATTTCGATAAGCGCCATGAGAAGACATACCCTCGACTGTTAGCTTTCACGCAAATTTTGCGCTTTCTCTTCCGTTTTCCAACATCCAAATTAGTGTCTCCGCCGCTGCTCGGCTCCAGATCGGCTTCGCCACATTCACTTCCTTCCTCTAAACATTGCGCATCGTTTACAACAACGAATGGAGAGAAAAAACACAGAAAGTACGGCAACGCACCCTCGACTTCCATATGTTCCGATGGAACGCAATCGTCGTCGCTATCGTCCGTGCTGTCTTCATCCCCTTTGCGTCGATTCTGCAAAGGCATTATCGAAATGGCTAAGGTAATAATAAATTCTCATGGAAATCCCAAAAGTAAACACAGACCAATTAATAAAACCGTCATTAGTAAAATAAAATTATAAAAACCTTAGAAAGACACTAATTCAAAACACCAGTAAATTTATATTATAAAGTTGCAGCTCGATCAAACTGCGAAATAGTGTAAGTGCAGTCTCTGAGGCGGTTAAGGTTTCAGGGAACAGAGCGGCAACCGCCACCATTTACTGTAGTAGCTTTGTCTCACAAGACAGCTCACACTTTCTTGTAGAGCACAATTTTCTGTATGTTTTAGTTATGTTTCTGCCTTTTCTAACAGGAAAGGAGCTGAGTGGGCAGCGTTTAAAGTCGTAGTTTAAAGCACGTGCGTAGCCATAGAAACAGCGACTTCCGGAAACTCATAGGTTTTCACGAACTGCCGTCCGTACGCGGCTGCTCTGTCGCATAAGGTCAATTCGGTGATTTCCATGCTTGGCATTCCCACCTGTGTCATAGGATTTATGTTTATGTTGTGATTTAGATATTTATGAGCCATAAATATCGATATATACGTCTTCCCAGTGCGTTTCCCTTATTTCCGGTAGAGTCGTAGGCTCTAGGCCCCTTACGTCGTGTACGGCCTAGATCGCAAGTCGATCGTAAAAGCAGGCCCCAAATGGTGTGTCAGCTTAAGGACAGTATATAACGGGTATCACCGTACCGGACGCGCGTACCCGTTATATACTGTCCTTGGGGAGCTGCAGCGTCTACCGTACTGGTAGCCTGCACTGCAATGACCCGGTGAGCATAATCGATACTGTACCGTCCTAGTTCAACCGCAAGTCGTAATCCACTGGCGTTTTCTTCCTAGTTGATCTGGAGGTATCGTGATTGTATTTTTATCGCGTTTTGTGATTTTTTCGCGGTACTTTGCGCAAACGGCGAAACTTAACGTGACCTTTTAAAATTTTGTATGGCGCCTTTTCCCTACGCACGTTGTGTATGGCCAGTAATGCTGTCAACACGTTATATAAAAAATTAACTGTATGCTAGCGAAATCTTTCATAATACAGTTTACCAAACACTTTACGCCCGCTTATCAAGTGTACCACATTTTCTGTGGCGTCTGCCAGATTTTATCGTTTGCTAGTTGCCAGAGTTTCCAGGTTTTATCGCTCGCCATGCCATTGGCAATGCCACTGGCAGGTGCCAATGCCACGTTTTACCCCCTGCCTACATCCAGGACATTGATGGCGATAACGTCTTTATTGACTTCGACGCCGGCACCGCACCGGCCCAGTGGATTCATTCCAGCCATGTCTGGCCGAACCGCTTTCTCAAGAGTACTCAAAAAGGCTCCGTCTATGTGGCGCTGCGTGAAAAAGACGACAGGCCGATGGTGTATCGAGCGGGGACCTTGACGAGGCAAATATACGGCATGTTTTATGTGGTGCGGCTAGAGAACCCAACCGGCTCTTGTGTCATGCATCCATGTCGGATTGTCAAACGGCTGCCGGTGCGAGCCAAGAACCGCAGCTTATTCGCCAGTAAAAACGGTCTCAGATACATTAAACACGTGGTGCAGTTTGACCAGGCGAGCCTACTGAGAGATGTGGATTTCTTGCCTCTTTTTTTGGATTGCACATGCCGGGTCAAATTTAACGAGGGGTATGTTGTGTGTCAGGGCAGAATTCAGATATCAGTGGGAATGGACAACTTTAGGTTCAAGTGCAGATGTGGAACGACGAGCATTGATTTTGACATCGGCTGTCGGGCGTTTGTACGCGTGGCAGATGACACAGTTACGGCTATTTGTGCTGAAATCCACGGCGATGCCGCCGGACGACGGATGTTCTGGGATGCAGGTGCCCTGCGGCAAGCGTGTCAAATTTATTTGGCGGCACAACAGTCCAGTGGAGCAGACAGCATTATCGCTGGAGATCGTGGAATGGCGGCCTTCGAACCCGGTAAGCGTAAATTGTCAGTAGTTTAATAGTCCCATCTATTAGTATAAAGTACAGAGTATTTAACATAATATATATATATCTATTGGTACGGATTGCCAGTCTGACTTTTCCTTGCTTGCCACAGCATTTACTTGAATTTTTGCAGACGTCGAAGACATGCTCATCGGGAATTTGCCGGCGCTGATAGCGGCAGCTGTTCTGCTTAATATGGACTGGAGTACTCAGTTTTGTATGAGCCGGTATGTTTTGTATTCCTGTGTTCTCGAAAGTTGTTACAGTTTTTTACCCTGATTCGTGCCGGCATTAGGACTTGAGATGCGAATTTAATCGCCGATGCTGGCGCGTGGCAGTTAACGATAAGATGCACCGGGAAATTATACAGTACTGTCATGAACCCTACATTTAAACTGAATCTTCCTTCATTTGTATCAGGGTTTGCGCACTATGGCGCTGCATTCTACGGGAAAATAATGCCAAGCGGCACATTATCTTCAATATCGGCCGGATCGGTGTCAGCCGGCCATGGAAGGAGGCTTTAAGCTCCAAAGAATTAAATGACCTCAACGCATACAAACTTGTAGCCACGCTAAATGCGAATATAACGCAGCAGACGCGATCGGTGGCGGTGGTTGACGAGGGACGGTACTACGATAACATGAACGACTTCCGTAACAAACTGTTGATGATCAAAGATATCCTGGCAGCAAAAAACCTCCACATTCCGCTGCTCGTCGCCAAGAACGGGTATGATTCCGTGGAGAATCCGCACGGTTCATTTCTGGGTCTTCACTGCAATTACGCGACATGGGAGAATTACCAATGCGGTATAATAGCAGACCTAATGAGCGTGTGCCAGCAGCTGGTGCTGCTCAACTATACGGCGTCCAATCGGAACGGCTGTCAGTCGCGCGTAAACATGTTTTACCTAGCTGCTGGTGTCCCGTGGCCCGAGCAAGACACAGGGACTGCGCGCGGGGATCCTGATGGGCAGCTGGACGTGGTTATTCATCGTCTACGCTTCTACTGGACGGAAACACGTGCCGAACACAGCCGGCGCTTTCTAGCCGCCGTCAACGACCACTGCCCGCCGGTTAGTCAACGGGTATTGGATAAGGTCACGGCGGTGTATGCGCACTGGATGTGGACTCGGGACTATCCCGACGAGTGGGTCGGCATTCGGCGATTCCTTCAACTCTGAGTAACTGCATAGGTGTGATGTATGACTCATAATTAATATTTATATTTATAATTACGATTCTCGAGATATGTTCTTAGCAACGGTTCTTAGAAACACGAAACACTTTGTTGATCGTCGGGATATTGTTGTTATCATTCAGTTGAGTTGTGTTGGTCTGGGAGAAACTAATATTAATAAACTTACGTAGTAAGTACCTCACATTGGCGTGAAGGATGATGAATGCCCTTTCTGTGTAAATGGTACTGACTGGTCAAACGTGGTAATTGACCATGGCTACGGGAGGCACGCCACCCGTGGGAGTGACAGGCACTCAGACACGCACGCCGAATACTGCGGTGTCGGGTGATGATGACTCCACCGGGTTACCCAAATTAAGTAAATTTGACCCAGACACGATGAAGCTGGAAACGTGGCGTGTACAGTTTAATAGCCACGTGGAATCGTTCAAAATGACCGATGACAAGAAGAAGCCACTACTCTTGGGATCCCTGAATCCGAAGGCCATGGAGATGCTAGCCTCCATGTGTCGCCCGAAGGATCCAGGTCAGTTCACGTTCGAGGAACTGTATGAGAAGTTAAAGCTGGTGTACAGCAAACGGACAAATATAAGAGTAGAGCGCGCTACTTTCTTTTCGATTAAGCAGAAGTCAGGTCAGACTTTGCTAGATTTTTCGAACGATTTAAGGAATCAGTGCGTCAAGTGTGATTTTCCAGACGCGTTTGTAGATGACCAGCTTTGTGCTGCATTTATGTCAGGTGTAGCCAGTGAAACTACGCGCCGTTACTTGTATACGTTGCCAGTGTCGTCTGTAGAAAAATTCGATAAATTGTACGAAGAGGCGGATAAATACGAAACGAGTAAAGCAGACGCTAAACAGACGGTCGGGGGTAGATCGTCGTCTCCAGACGTAGCAGCGATTAGGCGCGGTGGGTATGGTGGTCGCGGTAGAGGCCGTGGCGGTAGGTTCCGAGGACCAGGCCGATTCGGACAGCGGTCCAGTAAAGCAGCTTGCTACGGGTGTGGTTCAACCGAACACATGAAACCGGACTGTCCCCATAAGAACACACAGTGTAATAACTGCGGCCGTCGAGGTCACCTGGCAAAAGTGTGTAGAGCGCCACGAAGAGGGCGTGGTCAGAGAGGGCAAAGACGAACGAATTATGTTGAGAGAATACCCTATGATGTTTTGCGTACTGGACCAGTAACCCCGTCGTCGATTTTTGTCCCGTTAAATATTGACGGCAAGACTGTGAATATGGAGTTAGATACGGGATCGTCAGTCACGATAATGAGCAAGTTAACATGGCGGAAAGTAGGTGCGCCGAAGTTGCAGAAAGTTGACTACTGTTTACGTAGTTTTACGGGCCATGTTATTCCTTTAATGGGAATGGTAGAAGTGACAGTGAAGCATAGTGGCGTAACGAAGACGCTAAAAGCGTTGGTTACTGAACAAGGTTGCAGTATAATTGGCCGTGACTGGATATCAGAGTTGGAGTTGAGCGCGTTAAGCTTAAAACAGTTACAGCAAGGTACTGTAAGTAGAATTGAAGAATTTAGCCTTGCAAAAATACTGCAGAAATACAAGGCAGTGTTTAGGGACGAGCTTGGTTGTTGTAAAAACTTTAAAGCGCACTTGTACTTAAAAGATGGCGCTCGTCCTGTTTTTTGCAAAGCAAGGCCGGTACCGTTTGCACTGAAAGAAGAAGTCGAGGAAGATTTAGAACGGCTGGTAAAATTGGGTGTACTCACGCCAGTTGATTATGCAGAATGGGCTGCACCAATTACTTCTATCAAAAAGCCTAAGAAAAAAGTGCGTATCTGTTCTGACTTAAGTACTGGGTTGA